CTCTGAACCCTAAACCCTAAACCCTAAACCCTAAACCCTAGAACCTTAGGTTTAGGGCTGCTGCTGCTGCCTCGATGACTTTCTGTCTCTTTTTCGTCTCCCAGCAAACGATCCATCTTGGCGTGTTCGTGCTATTGCAGCGCAGCAGCTAGCTGCTGTTGCTGCAAGCTGCTGCAGCAGCAGCAGCAGCAACAGCAACAGCAGCAGCAGCAGCAGCAGCAGCAGGTTCAGAGAGTTATATTCTTCTCTGTGTTTGCTGCTGCATGATCCTGCTGCAGTGGAGGTGCGGCTGCCTGCTGTTGTTAGTCTTGCTGCTGTTGCTGCTCTGCTGCAGCAGCAAGAAGTAGATAGGCTGCTGGTGCCGCTGCTGCCCCCGCTGCTGCAGGCATCGCAGCGGCAGCAGCGGCAGTCTGCTGCTGCTGCTGCTGCTGTCTCCTTTCTTGAAACAGCAGCAGCAGCAGCAGCAACCTTCTCTCCTCCTGCTGCTTCACACTCTGCTTCTCTAGATGCTGCTGTTGCTGCTGCTGTTGCTGTTGCACAGAAAGCCTCAGCAGCAGCAGCAAAAGATATACTTAGAGATGTCATTCTGCTGCTACAAAACGGAGACGCAGCAGTAGCACTCAGGTATACTGCTGCTGTTGCTGCTGCTGCTGTTGCTGCTGTTGTAATTGCTGCTGCTGCTGCTGCTGTTGTTGTAATTGCTGCTGCTGCTGCTGCTGGAATTGCTGCTGCTGCTGTTGTTGCAGTTCCTGCTGTTGCTGCTGTCATATATGCTGATGCTGCAGCAGCTGCTGCTGCTGCTGTGGTGTATAGAGTGTATCTTTGTTACTGAAATTTCAAGTTGCTGCTGCTGCTGCTGCGCTGCTGCTGCTGCTGCTGCTGCTGCTGTTTTTTATTTATGTTTGCTGCAGCATATCGAAGTATCTGCAGGACTTATGTCGTTTGTCTTTGCGTCAAGACAAGCCGAGCAGCAGCAGCAGCAGCAGCAGCAGCAGCAACAGCAGCAAGAACAACACCAGCAGCAACACCAACACCAACACCATCACCAGCAGCAGCAGCAGCAGCAGCAGCAGCAGCAGCAGCAGCAGCAGCAGTGCTGCTCCTGCTGAAGCAAGTCAGCTTGTTGAGTGCCTTTGCTGCTTCTATGTCGATGGCGGGCAAACANTCTAATATTTATTTTTATTGTATATTTTTCTATATATTCTTATATATATATATATATATATATATATATATAATATATTATTGTATATTATTTTTTTCTATATATTCATATATTTATTTGTTTATTTATTTATTTATTTATTTTTAGGGGGTGTATTTCTTTTTATGTTATTTTTCTGGTTTATATTTGGACTAGTTTATACTTACACTTCTTTTTATTTATTTATTTATTTATTTATATTTATTTTTATTTATTTATTTATTTATTTATATTTATTTATTTATTTTTAGGGGGTTGATTTCTTTTTATGTTATTTTTCTGGTTTATATTTGGACGCCATCTTCGATAAAATTCACCAAGTTCGAGTTGCTGCAATAAACGCATGCAAAGTGAGCTCCGCATACACCTGAAACTTAACATATATATTTTTTTATTTTTTTATTATACTTTTATATTATAGATTTATATATGTATATATAATATATATATATATATATATAGTATATGTCTGTATATATATATATATATATATATATATATA